TAATTGTTAAATAATTCTCTAAAGAATAACAATATCACTCAATCATTAAAATATCTTATTTCCTTATATTTTATTTGATCAATTTTTAAATTTTAATATTAATCAACTATAGTTGATTTTATGATATAAATTTGGTTTTTATATATTTTAATACTTTAAAAAATAATGTAAAATGCTCTCTAAAGATTATTAAAAAAAGATATTAATTTCAAATTATTTAAATTAAAGTTATAATATGATAAAGATAAATTTATATTATTAATAAAAATAGTCTTATGATAATGTTTCAATTATATTATTATTAAAATACTAAAATGTTATAAATATTATATTATATTATATACTTCTTTTTTTTATTTTAATTAAAAATATAATAAGTGTATTAAAGTTATTACATTAAATATTATGTTAATGTACATATTTATATATTTATTGATATAAATAAAAATATATATAAATTATTAATCAACTATTCATAAAAATGACCTTTTTAGATTAATTTTTAACTTTTTTGATTGTTAATTATTTTCAATTTTATCAGTTTATTTTAAATCTTATGAAATTTAATTTTATTATTAAATAGCCTCAAAGTTTGAAACCTATTATATTTATGGTTTTTTGTTTAAGGAAAAGTCATTTTAAATAAAATCATCATCTATGATAACAATATCTGGAGATTTTTTTTTTTCATCTTCTTCTATTAAGTTTAATAACTAAATTAAATAAATTGAATACTTCATCTAAATAATCATCATGTTCTTAACCATTTACTAATAATTCTTCAATTTCTTTTTATTTAGCTAAAATTAATAAATTATATATTACCAATAAATTCTTAATTTGTAATATCTACAACATCATCTTCTTGTCTTATATGTTTCTAAAATTCAAAAACTTAATCAATTTAAGTTTCAGTTTGTTTTGCTAGAATTAATAAATAATGTATATACGTTTTTCAAATAATAATTTATTTATTTCTTCAATATCAACAAAATGGGCAACTTCTTCAATAAAATGTTTCATATATTGTAATTTTTTAATTTCTTAGGCTATGCATATGAATGGATCATTTAATTCACTCATAGTAGTTGGTAACTTTTTACATAATTCTTCAATATCATCAGTAGATAAAACTAAATCAATATTAATTATTTAATTTGAAGCATCATTAGTCATTTCTTTATAAATATTCTTACGAACTAACATTAATCTTTCACGCAAATCATTAAATTGATTTTCTAAACAATAACCATATTGATTATCATATTATAATTTTTTCTATTCAGTTTCAATATTTGTTCCATTTTACCAAATGAAATCTTTTTGTAAAACATTTTAGTTTATTTATAAATTTATTCCATTGTTATTTTGATTATTATTTTCTTTTGATAAATACTTTTTAAATAGATCATTAGTTTTTTAATCTAAAACTGATGATCTCTTGTCTTTTTCTCTAGGAATTGATATGATTACACTTTTTAAAGATGTTCCAGAATTAGGAGTTAAATAAACAACTTTATTTTTGAAATTACCTTTAACATTGTAACATTATACTTTTTAACTTAAAGCATTTTAAGCTCTTAATTAATCTAATAAAGGATTTATATTACGAGGATTATGTTTAAATAATCCAAATATCTATTCAACATTTTTTTATGAATTATTAGATTTCTTTTTATCTTGTGCTCCTTTTAAACATTAAATTAATTAATTTTCTGTTAATGGATATTTATCTAAACAATCAAGAATTTTTAGAGCTTCAGTTGTTAAATTGATTTTTTCTGCATTTTCATCATCTCTTTAACAATTATCACATTTTTTATTACATAATGTTCTATCAAAATTCTCACCTAAATATGATAATTGTAAGACTCTTCTACATGATACTCTATCATAACAAAATTATTGCATTTAATCTAATTTTTTAATATTATATTTTTTCATTTAAGCAGTCATTTCTGTATTCTAATCCATTAAATACTAGAAATATATATAATAAATATTTACTAAATTAGTTTTATAGTCATTATTATTGTAAAATAGAAGACAATGTGCTTATTTACCATCTCTACCTGCTCTACCACTCTCTTAATAATAATTTTCAATAGATTTTGGCATTTAAAAATGAATTACAAATCTACAATCTTTTTTATCAATTCCCATACCAAATGCTACAGTTGCAACTATTACTTGTACTTCATTCATCAACCAATTTTTGTGAATTCTATGTCTTTCCTTTTCAGTAAGACCAGCATGATAAAAGTCTGATCCTATACCATGATATATTAAATTTTAAGATAAAGTTTAACATTCAGATTATGTTAAACAATATATGATACCAGATTGTTTAGGATAAGTCTAATTAATAAATTCTTTAATTTCTTAAACTGCTTTTTTAAATTCTTCTCTACATCTAACTTCATAGACCAGATTAGGTCTATTAAAAGAAGATTATAAATATAAGCAACCTTTTATTTAAAGTACATCAATAATATCTTCTTTAACTTCTTCTGGAGCAGTTGCAGTTAAAGCAATAATAGGAATATTTGGATATTCATTTCTAACATTACTTAATTTTAAATAATCTGGTCTAAAATCTCTTCCCCATTTACTTACACAATGTGCTTCATCAATTACAAATCTTTTGATTAATTTTCTATTGAATAGATCCCCTAAAATTTATTTAAATTATTCAGATTTCTCGATTTTTTCTAGTTTGAATTTAAATAATACCAGGAGTAGTATAAATTAACTTTATTTTTTAGTCCAGAATTTATTATGCTGTTAACAATCTGTTTTAACCACTCATATTCAGTGATGGTATACCAAGACTTGTTAGATATTGTACTTAATCAAATATCAATGATATCAACGGCATTACAACAATAGAAACACCTAAATATTATATCATATATTGTACCATTTTCTACAAATGCTGGAATTTAGAATGTTATACTTTTTCCATATCCTGTAGGCATGCAAACAAAAACATCTTTTCCTGCTAAAACACAATTTATAATTGCTTTTTAATTTGCCTTAAATTATTCTTTACCAAATGCTCCCTTTAGTGCTTCTAGTACTTTTGTATCCCAATCAAATTAAGTTATTGTCCAATAATGAACATCTGCAAATTAATAAGGTTTTTATTTCTTGGCGGCTTATTATATTACAATTTTTTTGCAGGATTTTTTTTGAACAGGAAGTGTTTCAGGTAGTTAATTTTTTAGAATTAATTATTCCAATTATGCTCTAGATATTTAAACTAATTCATCTTCTTCTGAAAGCAATCTCTAAAAATCATTGTATTCCATTTTTACTTCAAATTATATTATTATATTATTAAAAATATGAGTAACAAATATTCGTAATTTTGAAATCACTAAACTCTAAAGTATTTTTACAAAATAATTCATATAGAAATCATATTTATACAAATTCTCTATTAATTAAAATTAATCTATTGAAATCTTCAATTATAGAATGTATACAAATAAAATGAGTAGAAAAATATATTAAATTATAAAATACTCTATAATTTAATATTGAATATATCTATAGAAGCTGACAATACATTTGATTAATAAATAATTAAAGAAGTTGGTATAAAGGTTGAAAAAATATACGACTATTATAATAATTAGTTTTCTAAAATATTTTTTCATAGTTTAATTCAATAGAATTTAAGAAATGTGTTTGAATATTCTAAAAATAATAAGATATTTATTAGATATATATTTATATTTATAAATAAATTAGTCATTTAAGTTTAAGTAATCTCTAAATAGCTTCATTAGTTTTAGAAGTCTCTGATATAATTTTTTAAGTAGTAGATTTGTTACTTGCATTGATATTATTTTATGAATTAGTATTTCCTGCTTTTACACTATTTCCTTAACTCTTAGTTCTTTGAGAGGATTTTTGTAATTAAGCATTACAAATATCAGATATAACATTGAGTGTGTTTCTTTATTTTTTAGCATTAGTAAATCCTCCTTTGAGTAAGTATTAGCTTGCTTAAATGATCTAAGATCTTTGAGTGATAGATTGAGCATGTGATTTTAAGAGTTGATTATATTTGATAAATAAATCTTATTCTTAAGAATTTCGATGTTAAATCTGATTATTTAATTTAGCTGATTTATGATGTTAAGATTAGGATTTAAATGGAGCAGAATGTCTCATTGAATTTTAGGATTATAAATTAATACTGGATGTAGGATATTCACTACTATAATCAACCTTCTTTAATCTATGATCTGAATGACAAAACTAATAGATTTATACAATTTACTTTTTTTCTTTTATTCTCCCATTTACTTCTCCTTCAGTATGCATTATAGTTTTAGGAGGATGTTCAACAGATTCTCTTAATTATTCATTTTCTTTAATAAGTAAACGATAACTCTCATTAGATTTACCCAAATCTTTTTTTAATAGATGCATTTGTTTATGCATTTATTCAATAGTTTCTTTGTGTTATTTTTCCATATCTTCAATTTTTTGTTATAGAGTTTCACTATACAATTTGAGTTGTTATTCAATCTTAGATATGAATGGAGACTCTTACACTTATATGTCCTCTAATTTCAGCTTCATGCTTTTAGATAATTTACTCTAATTTTTCATATTCTTCTTCTGGATGATAACTTCTATATGAACTATTATCATTAACATTCAATTTAAGTTAAGTGATCTTCTTATCAACTTTCTTCATCAGAGTTTTAAAAACATTGCCAATTATTTTAACTAGTCCAGCCAATGTGTCATAGTCTTTTAATTAATGTTCAATCATCTTCAAATCATTCTACCCTTCAAGATAGCCTTCCAAACAGAATAATACCTTATATGATGATTAATTTAGTTACATCTTCAAGTAAGGCCTTTAGAGGAGCTTCAATTAGGGATTCATTGATTTCACTCATTCAAAAAAATAAATTCAGTTATTTAATAAATGTATACAGAATCGAATGGAGCTTCTTTTGGTGATGTACCATAACCTGAATATTTTTAAAAATTTTTAGTTGGATAGAATCTAGTTGATTCATCAACATCATTTGCAAGACTAAATAGCAAGACAGTGACAGAAAGAAGTATTAGGGAATCTTTTTTGGAAGAACAAAATTATGAAGTCATCCTTCAATAGATGATGGCTTGTAATATAAGATTGATGGATGAGATTTCCAAATGTTAAGTAACTGTGATCGAATTCATCAGCAGAACCTTGAAATCCAGGTTCAGTAGTTACAACGAAAGAATTCCGAATTAGCCACTTAAATTCAGCATTTACAAGACAATAATGCCAAGTTATTACATGAATTAGACTCTTGTAAGAAAGAGAAACAAAATCTTTAAGAAGAGATTAAGAAAATGGAAAGAGAGAATAAGAAACTCTATTTACCTGAACCTAAACTTAAATATAATAATTTAATGGATCTCAACAAAATTTTAATGAATAAAACAGAGTCCTCATTTTAATTTTATAAAGATCATATGCTTTCATCAAAATTCATTAGTCCAAAAGTACATAATTCAAATCCCTTTATTTATACTACAAGACCTTAAAGTCCTTCAACTAGTGTAAGATAAAGTACACCAACTAAAACAGAAATTAAATCACCATTATTAATGTTTAATAATACTGTCAATTCATGGAGAGATTCTTAATAAAATAGAAATACTGTTGAATTTAAAAAATTTTAAAAAACAATGGAATAATTAATGAGAAAACCTAAGAAAATTACTTGATATTATATAAAAATATATACATCACTTAAACATATTTTAAATTTATTTAACAAAATATAATGATAATCAAATAAAATCTTCATCTTCATCTTTCCAATCTTCTTATTACACTAAATAATCCATATCCATTTTAAATCTTAAAAATCCTCCTAATCCACTAAAACCTTTCATAAATTAATTTCCTTCAACACTATGATCTGTTATTAATTGAAAATCTAATCCATAATCTTTAAATTTTTCTGATAAATGCTCAACCAAATCCTCTTTTAATAAAATTACAAATTATTCACCATTCTTTTCTTCAATTAAAGAACCAGCTTCATATCCTTCATTACCTTTTACATATTTAATAGCTTTTTCTAATTAAATATAATTATTTATATCATACATTCAGTCTATTTACTTTGACATTCCAAACGTAAATATTATAGAGTATCTACACAAACTAAAGTTTTTATTGTTTATGATTCCACAGCTCTCATTGTATCTTAAACACCATAAACTACCAAACCTGTATCTTTATCAATATTTTCAAAGAATTATCCAACTAAATTCTTTTCTCTAATATATTTCACTTCTAACAAAGATTCTTAACTTAATTAAACTGCTTAATTCAATCCTTATTCACCACCATAATTAATATCTACTACTGAAATAATCAATGGTTATAATCTCTTATCAAAAAATTGACTTCCAGCTAAATCATTTTTAAAATCAGCTGAACCTGCCAATACTAAACCTTTTACATTTGGTTTATCTTCAGATATGAAACAAGTTGTGGCTGTTTCACATACTTTTCTTAAGTAATTATGTCTTTTTTCCATACGTAAACGTGCAAATCTGACTGAAGATTGACCTCCCTTATTATGTTTCTTAGGTAAATCAACATCAAAAGACTTGATAATTTATTTACTATTTCCTTGAATTGTAGCAAACAATGATCCATTACCATCCATAATAATGAATCCAAAAGGTGGATCTATGTTTAGAAGAGCTCTAAGTTCTTCCACGTGGAACTGAGGATCACAAAAATAAAGAGATAAATCTAAAGGTCTATAAGGTTCAATAACAACTGAAATTTTTTTCTCTCCTTTACCATCTGCTTATTACACAATACCACAAAAAACTACTAATCCATTATTAGGAGCCTTATTGTATGGTCTTAACCCTTAAATAAATAATTTAAATACTTAATATAGCTGCTTAAATAGCTTCTTGTACAGATGTTCTATTTGCTTTGTCTTTAATAGATGCTGCTTCTGCATATTAGGTATTGAGTCTATTAGTGATATCTGAAATGATTCTTTTTGGAGGAATATATACAGACACAACACTTGTGCCAGCAGTTCTTTCTTAACTCAAAGTTTTGATTAGTTTCTTGAGTCTGAATTGTTCAAGTGCTATTTCAGCATCACTAAGTTTTGAATCCATAAATTAAATAAATTATTCAAATAAATTATACTTAGATATTCCAAGTTAATAATCAATTATGATAATATTTAATTATATTATTAATATTTAAATCAATTCAATCTCCACCAACTGCTTATTCTATAAACCATAAACTTGATACAAATGATATGGCAACCAAAAAAATCAAGTACTTTCCCCATTTATATTATGATATTGAAAATTCTTCAGTCAATGTTTCCATTGTTGAAATGTAAATAAATGTCCCCACTGATATTGATACGAATATTCCAGTATATAATGGCCCTTTATCTGCCATAATCCATCCAATCCCTATTCCAATCGGATTCATTATAGCCTAAATTATAATCATATATGTTGAAGTTGTCTTATTTACACCTGCTTTTCTAAATGCAAGACCCAACGTCATTCCTTCAGCCTATAATATAATTTCATATATTTCATTACCCATTTATGACAACAAACTACCAATGCTATACCAATACACAAAGAAACCTCTTCTTAAATACCAATTGATAATCCTTCAAAAACTGCATGAATACCAACAGCTATTTATAAGATATAAGGAGCCCATGTATTTACATCTTAATAAACTATTGAATTTTTTGGATCTTATGCAATTGATTTTCTAACCATTTATACAAATGATGCTTTCTTTGCTACAATTAACTAAAAAATTTGACAATTTTAATACTTAAGTATTGAGAGCATCCTTAAATGTTTCTTCAGTATTCTTTTTTTCTAATAAAGCTTCTGCATCTACACTTCCATTCACAAACAGATTATTTTAATCTTAAACTTAAGTATTTTTAGAATTGCTCCCATGATGATGGAGATCATCATCATGTCCATGATCATGATGATGATCTGTAATTATTTTTTCAATAAAAAGAATTAATGCAAAACTAAGTATAGATATTGCATAAGCAAATGGAAAATGTTCCTCATCATCATCAAAAGACTATTCAAAATTCTCTGCTGCCTCTGGTAACAAATGAACTAAACCTACTGCTAGAAATAGACCTCCAGAAAATGCTCCCATATATGCTAAAAGTTTCTTAGCTTTTTCATGATTTACTTGTACCTTGTTTGATTTGAATGCTTTAAGTCTTATTGGAAGACTCCCTACGATAAGAATTAACATAAAAAAAGTAATCATGCATCCCACTTTTGTGATTGCAAGAACAACTTGATTAGAATCTTCATCACTCATTGATTTAATTAAATGCCATCATTATACTAAATTTATGAATTCTTGTAATAACTCTTCATTAAAATATGAATTACATTCTATATACAACTATAATTGTTCATCAGTCATACAACTCCTAATTTTATGATTTGATTCAAACTTTACTAGTTTATATGTAGAATTGTTGAAATTCTAATCATTTTATATATTAATATCAGATCTAAAGGGAACTAATATTTAACTTAATAGATTTCATAATATCAACATATAATGATTATCCAATATGTTACTTTATAGTTGTATATATAATACTTAATAAATGAAGTAACTCAAAAAATAAAGTCAAAATAAATATTGTATTTTTAAAATTAGAAATTATTATTATCTAACATCTAAACTCCTAGATTATGTTGACTTTTATTAACAATAAATACAAAAATCATTTAGATCTGTTAATATTATATATTTATGCTGAAATATAATGAATAATACAAGCACTTTACTAAGGTTATGCTTAATTATATCAACAAAAGTCTTAAAGAAAGAAAGAAAACTATTTGGTAGATTCAACAAATGTTCTAATAAAATAAGACTCTATAACCAATTATTTTTTTCATTATTTATGATTTCATAATGATCATAATAAAAAAATTAATAAATATTTCTTTGCTAAATTTTGATTATGATTCTCTATTAAATTATTATCTATTTATATGAAAAATGTATTCGGTTTTCAAATAATAAAAGTTAATTAAATGAATTATAGAAATAATTCTAAATCTTCAGAAATTCAAAATTGATAAATGGAGTTTACAGAAAAATATAGATTATCAGATATTTTTGAATTTAAATAGAAAAACTAAATTCTAATTAATTATGTATTAGAGGATAAGTTACAATAAAATAAAAAATCTAAATTTTGATTAAGAAAAGAAGAATAATGTTTATTTCAAATAAGAATGAAAAATTCAAAAATATAGCATTTGAAGAAAATTTGTTAAGCATTTAAAGGATATATTCAATGATAAAATTATAATTATATTTATAATTCTTAATTATCATAATAATAAGCTGGATTTCAAATTGATTTAAATAATACTTTTTTAATTATTCAAACTAAATAAAAAATTTCTAAAAACACAGATTATTATTATAAAGTGTATGATATTTAGATTAAAAAAGTAACAAAAAAATAGAATAACTATATGTAATTATATTGTATATTATATATATATAGAAAGAAATACTGTCATTCTTCAACCTTTGCTTATTTTTTTCTTCTGTTTCTTTTCAAATAATAAGCAGGGTTGAGGTGAAACTATTTAAAGCATTTATTTGTACAAAGTGTTATATTTATATTATAGTATTTATGACAGCTTTCACAAATAAAACTTGATTTATGAATTTTATGATTATTCTGTTTTTAACAGACTTTACATCTATAATAATAAATGTACAATTACTTCTAGCTATGTGGACCTTTCATAGGAAAATGTCTATTCTTTTCTTCTTTAAAAGGAGCTAATTAAGTTAAAATTTCTTATTGATATTAGTCATTTTTTTATTTGGGTTATTTTTAGATTTATTGATAAAAATGATTTTATTTGAATAGTTTAAGCTTTGAGATCATTGTTAGAGTATCTTACCAGGTATATTTAGGTAAATTCATAAGGAATTTAGCTAAATAATAGATAGAATTTGGTATATCATGTATAAATGTAATATCTTTTATTAAAGAATATATGTTATACATTTGTACATATTACTCGTTTAATTTTAATTACTTGATAAATTCTTCATGGGTGTCTTATACTTATTTTATCTATTTTAAAGTGAATTCTTCATAACATTCTTGATTTTTAATTATATCCTACTGAAATTTTAGTAACACTGATTAGTTCAAAGAATATTAAATCATCAAATAACCATTTTTCTTATGAACTTACTATTGATTATTCATCCAAATTATAATCTTACTTTAGAGAGAAGGCAATTCTAACAATCGAAGTGCATGCAGAATCGTTTCTACTTTTTCTTCTACAAAATCTGGATCATAATTAATGAAATGCAAACACACTTCTTAATGTTAATGAAGAAGATGAGTTAGAAAGTCTTCAATAGCTTCATAGTACTTATTTAAATTAGATGTTAATTAATCTACATCAAAGTGTTTTTGTTAAATAATAATATAAGAGTTAGAATCGTATGCATAAAGGAAAATAGCTTTGATTTCTGATATATATCTTTAGAAAACTATTATGGAAGTATATTTGTGTTCCTATAACTCATATTTATCTGATAATTGTATCGATGATTAATTGGCTAATATTCGATATAAATAAAACATAGCCTTATCCATAATATTAGCAACAGATGAACTCATCTTTTTTAACTTTAATATATTTAATCAAAATTCACTTAATGTTAAGTGAATTTAAAAAACTAAAATCAAATGTAAATCATTAATGCTCAGAGAAGTATATTTAATATTTAATGGTTTTGTACTATTTATAAAGTAAAATAGAACGTGTATAATTTACTTAATATTAAATTATAATTCAATGTATTGCATTTTATTGGATGATTTTAGTGCTGTGATATAAGTGTGATTAATATACATTGTAATGCTGTAATCAGCAAATCTTTGATTTATATTCATACAATTCAAAATCTAAATAAATTATATCCTTTCTAATAAATTCTTTTTATACTCCTTACTTATTTGATATAACCAACACATTACATTCAGCAGACTTAATTTTAATCAATTAGATATTTACATTACCTTAATAGCTAACCACTTACTTTATTTCTATACTATTTTATCTTAAAAACTAAATTATAACAATCTCTCCAATTTCAATAAAAAAGCTTCTATTACTTTTCTTTTCCAAAGTATTTTAAACATATATTTTATATTTTTATTTTCATATATATATACATAAGCATACTAAAATAATTCATATATTTTTTATTTTAAATAAAATTTAATTAACTTCTAAATAATAATACATACTTAAATTTATTCAGCTATTTTTATTATAAAGTTTCAATCTCAAAAATCATTACTTTAAACCAAGATTGACAGTATCTTATATACTATGTTACTGTTTGGAAACTGAATTATTATAAATAATTTTTGAATGTAGTTTTAAAATTATTTTGAGACTCTCATCTATTTAGTAGTTTACTTAGAATAATAAATCTATTATATGAATGAATTTTATGTATCATGCAATCATAAATAAGTTATTTATCTATTAAATAATTTAATAAACTCTGATATAATATAATAAATTAACAAAGTATGTAAAATGAGATCAATTTAATACACAGTCCCTTATTAAAACATCATAGAGAATAAGAACAAAAAGCTTAAATGATAGAGATGCAAGTCTTTAAGAGTTTGTATTAGAATGATTTTGATAAGCATTAGAAAAAAGATGAAATATTAGAAATTGAATCCAATAAATTATAATAGATTTTGGAAGCAAAAGGTTAATGGAAAACACTATTAAAAGGATGGAAGAAAAATGGAAATAAATAATAGTAAAATGATGATAATTATTTTGGATTTTAATATAATAAATTATTAGAAATCTTTGATCTGAATTAAATAATTAAAGAAGCTTAAAAAAATTTAACAAAGTAAGATCAAGAGAAAGACTTGAAGGAAAAAAGATTGAAAATTTAAATTGATAAATTAAATGAATTGGGGGGTATTTATGGTTTATAGAACTTTTTAAAAACTTGTATAAAGTAAGGATTGGATGATACAAATGATTATGATTTGAAGATGAGAGAGAAATATTTTGGTAAGAATGAGAAACCTCAAATAGCTATAAAAAGTGTACTTCAAATAATAATTGAATAATTTTAAAAGGAAAGACTATTTTAATTATTATTGATTATAACAACAATTAACTTAATAATATATTTTGATGATAATGTATAGGTTTATACATTCTATATAATAATGTTAGTTATAATGGTTTTATATAAGGGAGTGATAAAATAATAGTATAATAAAGAAATAGTGTAACATTAAAATGATATCAAGGAAAGGAGCAAACATTTAATAAAACGATGTAATGTATTAAGAAATGGAGATGATTCAATTTAAATTCATAATAGTTAATTGGTTGTTGGAGACATTTTGATATTTAAGTAAGGAGATTTCATATAATGTGATGGCATAATAACAAAATTATAAAATTGTAATGGAATAGAAGTATTGTAACCATTTCCTAATCTTTTTAATACTTAAGAGGTTAAAAACATAGATGAAGTTAAAGAATAGAATATTATACATGATGAATANTCTTATATACTATGTTACTGTTTGGAAACTGAATTATTATAAATAATTTTTGAATGTAGTTTTAAAATTATTTTGAGACTCTCATCTATTTAGTAGTTTACTTAGAATAATAAATCTATTATATGAATGAATTTTATGTATCATGCAATCATAAATAAGTTATTTATCTATTAAATAATTTAATAAACTCTGATATAATATAATAAATTAACAAAGTATGTAAAATGAGATCAATTTAATACACAGTCCCTTATTAAAACATCATAGAGAATAAGAACAAAAAGCTTAAATGATAGAGATGCAAGTCTTTAAGAGTTTGTATTAGAATGATTTTGATAAGCATTAGAAAAAAGATGAAATATTAGAAATTGAATCCAATAAATTATAATAGATTTTGGAAGCAAAAGGTTAATGGAAAACACTATTAAAAGGATGGAAGAAAAATGGAAATAAATAATAGTAAAATGATGATAATTATTTTGGATTTTAATATAATAAATTATTAGAAATCTTTGATCTGAATTAAATAATTAAAGAAGCTTAAAAAAATTTAACAAAGTAAGATCAAGAGAAAGACTTGAAGGAAAAAAGATTGAAAATTTAAATTGATAAATTAAATGAATTGGGGGGTATTTATGGTTTATAGAACTTTTTAAAAACTTGTATAAAGTAAGGATTGGATGATACAAATGATTATGATTTGAAGATGAGAGAGAAATATTTTGGTAAGAATGAGAAACCTCAAATAGCTATAAAAAGTGTACTTCAAATAATAATTGAATAATTTTAAAAGGAAAGACTATTTTAATTATTATTGATTATAACAACAATTAACTTAATAATATATTTTGATGATAATGTATAGGTTTATACATTCTATATAATAATGTTAGTTATAATGGTTTTATATAAGGGAGTGATAAAATAATAGTATAATAAAGAAATAGTGTAACATTAAAATGATATCAAGGAAAGGAGCAAACATTTAATAAAACGATGTAATGTATTAAGAAATGGAGATGATTCAATTTAAATTCATAATAGTTAATTGGTTGTTGGAGACATTTTGATATTTAAGTAAGGAGATTTCATATAATGTGATGGCATAATAACAAAATTATAAAATTGTAATGGAATAGAAGTATTGTAACCATTTCCTAATCTTTTTAATACTTAAGAGGTTAAAAACATAGATGAAGTTAAAGAATAGAATATTATACATGATGAATAGATATAACCTAATTTAGGTTTGGTTGATAATTTTATTTTTGCTGGTTCTCAAATAATAAAGGGATCTGGATAATTATTGGTTTGTAGTGTTGGATAGAAATCATCTGATTATATACAATACAAATAATCATTTTTAGAAGATACAAAAACAGAGAAATAAAGAACAACTTATTTGAAATAGAATTCTATGTATAATCCATTTGCTTTTAAGATTGAATCTTTCATGAATAAGATTGGAATATAATGTATTATTAGTCTACTTATTTTATTAATAATCTTATTATTCAGAAATACTTATTTAATTGATATTACTTAAATTCTTTTATATTTATCATAATTATCAATAATTACTATACCATCTTAATTACTTTAATTAATTAATTTATTTATGATTTATGTAATAAAGAAATGTAGATAAAGAAGTATTTATATATAGGATTATTTATCATTATATTGGCTTGGGTAGGTGAATGAAATGATTATTGATAAAATAGATGATAAAGTTACAATGTTTAGTAAATCATAAATAAATATTAGATATTTTACTTAATTATAATTAGAAGATGCATAAAAAATAGCAATTCAAACAGATCTTTTGAAAGAAGATGAAGTAAATGATAAATGTATAGAAGGAAGTTTTTTAAATAGTAGTTTTGAATAGAAAAATAAATTTATGTTTATAAGTAGAAGACTTGTTTGTCCAACTTTAGATCATTTAAAATTAGAAAGAATTTAATCAAGTAAGACATTAGAATGGCTAGAATAATAGAAATAGAAATTTTAATTTTAAGGAATTGTTGATTAATAAAAACTTTATGAAGAAATTAAAAATAAAAATATTATAATTGGAGGGAATGCTGATAGAAAAGAGTAATTGATAAATTTACTTAAACTATATGATAAAATTATATTTATAAAAGGAGAAGAAAATGATGGAAAAGCTATGGAAATGGCACATGTTAGTATTGGACCACATGAATCCAGATCATGCATCAAATTATTCAATCATTTAGAATAAAGTGATAAGAGTTACATTTCATCAATGTATGAATGCATAAGTTAAGGAAGAGCTGTTTATTTTTATATTTTATCTTACTCTTATGCTTTGGCTTGTACATCATAAACCATTATGATATTTGCAATCTCATCAGCAATTTTATCTGACAATATATTTATTATGCCTATTCCAACTTTTATCATTTTCTATCTCACTTTGAATCATTTTTCTTATTAGATTTAAAAATAATGCAATTAAGATGTTTAAACTTACGTTATGCATCGTAGTCCCTATACTAAACAAGGTAGAATTATTGATAGACATACAATGAGAAAACTATATAAATTACATTCTATTTTAATTGTTGAATTGTTAATTGCTTATTACTATGGATATTTTAAATCTGTTTAAGATGTCTATATAGGATTATTATTTAGTAAACATGTTTTTATAATGGTTAGACCTATTAAATAGGTATTATAATAAATTGAAGGTATAATATATGGTTTATTAATCAATCTAATCAATTAATTTATAACTTAGTCAAATTAAGATTATCAAAGTATCTCAATACTCTTAAGAAACTATTCAATTGGTTTAATTGTTATAGCATTTAATTTATTTGTTGGTTATAGGTGATTATATTATATATTAATATAAATTTAATATTTGTTTTAATTGAATGTTTTTTTTACATATAAATCATTTTTATTCTTACTATTATTAATTTTCATTCTCTTCCTCTTTATTTTATTTATTTTCATTCTCTTCAACATCCATTTCTTCTTCTTAATTTTAATCTTCTTCCTCATATTCTTCATCTTATTCTTCTACTTATTAAGTATTTTTTAATTTATTCATTCTAGTTAATTTATCCAAAAAATCAACATTAATACCAAACTCAGGTAAACTTTTTTTACATAAGCTTTTTATTGATTCTAATTATTTCATAATCTTTTAATTTTCCTCACTTATTAAATCTCTTTCAACTTATTATTATTATAATAAATCCTTATATTAATTCATTAATTTCTCCTTCTATGCAATTTCTTAAGAACAAAATTACTCTGTTTAAATCATATCTTTGAGTAATGTTTCTTTTTCTTATAATTTATCTTTTTTATCATTTAATTCTTTCCATGCTTATCTATTAATTAATTAATTATTTACTGCATTTATGTTTCCATTTATTTTTTTATATCAGCAATCTAAAAAGTAGTATTTCCACTTTAATAATAATTTTGAAATTAATTTTCATTAGATTCAATTTCTTTTTCAAATTCTTTTAATTTCTTTTCATATTAAGTTTCAAGAGAATTGATTTATGTACTCCATTTTTCTTCTTATTTAGCTAGAAATACTTTTTTGGCTTCAATAATTGATTCTAATTCATTAAGTTCTTACTATAATTCTTATGATCTATTGGAGTGGTCTTAAATACCACTATTGATAAATTAAGTCGAATTAATCTGTTTCATCTCTTTTTTAATAATTTTTTTACATGAATAAGGAATAATATCTGTTTTATGTTATTTCAATTTTGAATGTACATTCTATTCACATTAATAACACATTTTTTCTTAGCAATCTATACATTAGATTGTGGCTGGACTTGCTTAACATTTTGGACATATCCTTAGAATATTAGACATTATTATTAATTAATTAAATTGAATATTTATATTAAATTTAATAAAATAGAAACTATTTATTATACAAAAATTGAAATCAGAGTTTATTCATGATCTTTTATTTTTTTTAATTTTTCTTTTGAATAACAAAACGTATGGTTCCTTTTCAAAAATAGCATAATGTAGCCATCCTCGACTTTAATATACTTTCAATCTTCTCCATTCTCTCTCTTTTAAAAGTCTTTCTAGAATATAATAATAAGAAAAATAATACATTCCCACTTTAAATCTTGCATAATTTTTACAGATTCCTTTCCCAATCTAACAATACGATAAATATGAGTATCATCTTCGAAATCTTAAGAGATCTAATTTGTGAGTGGATAATTATCTTTTTATTTTTGATCTAAAACATACTACCTTTCATCTGAAATTTGTTCCATATTTTAATTATTTAATTAACTGAATGCTTTGTTGAAAAATTTCAGTTGATATTCTTAATGAACTATTAATAAAAAGTATATAAAATTGGAATATAAAAATATAGTAAAAATATTATTGAAGTTAAAAGACAGGATTTTTTAAGTAGTTGATAAGGAATTAATAAAAAAGTAAAGAAATTTAAATTAGAAAGGAGTGAAATTGAATAAAATTATTAAAGATCAATTTTCTATGTATGATATATTTAAATGAATTAAGAAAAAGAACTAAGATGATTTTCCTAATATGTGATTGAGTGTTTACTAAATATGAGATTTCTTTTTGAAAGAGAATGGAATAGAATAATGAGAAAACTTAATAATTATATTATTAATTATAATAATGCAAAATAAAGAAATTTTACACAAAGTTTTTGACTTCTATTGCAAATAATAATATGTTTAGGGATAATTTGCCAGCTTCGAAAGATAATAATATGAAGCATCTATATTTACTATTGGTAAGTGGATGCACTTTTGTAGAGATTTTTAAGTGAAATGCAATAGTGCTAGATTATTAGAGCTATTCAAAAAACAAGCCAAACATTCTAAGGAACTTGATTTTGATTAGTTTATTTAATTGTTAAATGTCTTAGCAATTGAATAAGAAGTTGATTTTGGGTAATACTAATCAAATTTAGGATTAGACAATTGGAAGGTTTGTGTTTCAAAAATGAAAACTTTTTAAAGACCATTTTAAATGAAAGATTAATATGAAAGAATTAAAGATATCAAATATCAATTTAAAATATATAATCCAGAGGTCAAAAATGATGAATAAATCAAATAAATTTTATTATAAAGGAAACAATAAAATGAATAATTAAAGCTCATAGAAAGAAAAAAGAAAGCATTTTATAAATTGTAATTTGAATTAAAACATTTTACTAAATCTTAACTTTTAAGTAAGTACCCAACTTTATAGGAACTTATTGAAAAACTACCCGATCCTTCAAAGTCTAAGATTTAATCTAATTCCAATAAGGAACAAGATTAAAATTCAAATATATCTTAACAAATGTAATCTGCCATTACATGGGAAAATTTAAATTATTTACCACTGGCAAAAGATTTTCTTACTGATTTAATGGAATAAGAATAAGAAGATGATGATGATTAATACTTAAAAGAATATTAAGAAGAAAAATATGTAGAGAATTCTCCAAAAAAATTGATATCAAATAATAGGTATAATAGTATATAAGATTATCAAAATGAGAGAGAACTAAGGTCTTTCTCAGATCATAAATAAATTATTAAGAGTAAAAGATATGAAGAATTATATCCAATAGAAAGATAAATAGATAAGAGTAAAATATTTAAATTAAAAACAACAAACAATCATTCAGAGAGCAACAATATTATATCCTTATAATAAATTGATTCAAATTTAATTAGATAACAAATCTTAAGACAGTAAAAATAGTAATTACAGAATCAGAACTATTCAGTTGAATTACCAAGATAAAATTTATCATAAGAATATTCTGATATTCCTTTATTAAAAGAGAAGCCTACTACAAATAAATTGAATATTTCAATGCTAAAGAGAGTCTAATAACTTTCTGGATTGGAGACAATTAAGGAATAAAATTTACTGAATAAAATAATTTCTCAGTAAAGAGAAAAAACAAAAATTGCCTAGAAATGAATCTAGAAACTTATTTATAGATTTTCCATTTTGTTTTATATAATATTATAATAAATCATCATTTGAGAATGATGTTTAATTTCTAATTCTTAAATTCATAATCTGAAAATACTGCCATTATTTTGAGTGTATCTGCAATTGAACACATTGATAACTGAAGACTATTTACATGTATTTTAATTTCTAAAAATATATATAGGATTACCTTTGATTTTAGCAAACATTTTAATTAATTCCGAGATTTCCGTAGGATCTTAGACTCCTGTGATTATGAGATTAGGTGAGAGTGGCATAATTTTCTATGTACAGTTTTCATTGTAATAAATCATATATTCATCTTATAAAGAAGTTGGCTATAAAGGTTATAAGGGTTCAAAATAGATACGCAACTATTTATTATATGAGGGATTGTTACTATTGAATCAAAGAATTGAGTATTATTGAGATATTCTTTAGCTATGGTTGCTTAATTAATGGTTTAGAATTTAACATATGCTTTCTACTATTATTTCTAGTAGAGAATCTCTTCAATATTTCCAAATTTGGAAAACACATTATAAATCATCTTTGCAGTCACTTTAGAGTCTACTGATGCAATTCTGAGTAATTTAGATTATTTCTATCTTAGTAGTGTTTGTATTTCTGGATGCATATCAGTCAAATTAAGTTGAATCTCTTATTTCCAAATATCGAAATCATCATCATCATAATCAAGTAATCGATTGATATCCTCATTTCTAACTGGACTTGAGTTGGCCCTAGAAGATGAACTTTGACTAATTTGATTAGTTAAGTTAACTCGGATGTTATCATCTGTTTTAGAATGAAGAATAGAATCTGAATTTTGACTATTACTGCTAGCTTAAGTATAATCCGTTCCTCTTGAATTATCCACGATTTCGAGATTTAGATTTTTAAGTCGAGAGTAATGGATTATCATTCTATATATAAAATAAATTAATACTTTCCTCCTTAGATGTTCAACCCATTCAATTATTTCCTGGCTGCTATGGCACTCTTTAAATTATAAAATTCCACAAAAGCTTTGTTTGTCTTTCCTCTTTCGAAAATTAGTATTTTCTTAATGTCTCCAAACTCATTAAACTTTTTATGCAAGTACTCATTCGTCAAAGGAAAAGATGGAGGCAATTAAGTTAGAATGAGTAAAAGAATTTAACTTGGAGGATCTCTGGAATTATTATACATTAAAATTTAATTAAAAATAAACTATAGCAATTTCTAAAGTATGCTAAAATCTTATAATAAGAATGAGCAGTTAAATCTTAATCTTCCTATTCTCTAATTCTTTTTTTATTAATAAAACTTATTTTTATTTCCAATTACGTAATTATTATTAAATATTCTTAATTTTCTAAAAATATTAATTATTACATTTCCAATATGAAATAAGTTTAAACATAAAATAAATACAGTTATTTCATTTAAATTATTAGTGAATTTAAATTTGTTTAATAGATTCTCCAATCAATAGGATATTCATATAATTTAGTGAATTTATATAGATACTATATATTATTTGATTAATAATAAGTAATTATGATAAAAGAATAAATTATCTTCATAATTTATTTATATATATATATTCTTTCATTCAACTTTATAATTTGTAAGCATACCATCGACAAATTCAGCACAAGATTTAGCATTGTCAACCAAACTTACATTATTAGATTTAAGATAATCATAAGTATCATTCCAAACTTTTAATGAAACTTCTATTTAACATTATCTTTACAATAAATCAGCTTTTTCCTATTCTTTAGCATTTTTTGATTTTAACTTTTCCAATTATTTTGCATATGATGCAGTACTTATCAATCTAATTTCATTACTTAAACAAAACATAAGTAAAGTGAAATATTAATCATCATGCATCTTAGATGGTTTATGAGTAGATAAAAATTTATCATCAATTTATAATTTTTATAATGCATATGGTTTATATCTAACAACACCATTTTTCCTAATTAATTTACTAGCTTTGTTCATCATCTCTACAATATTATCCATATAATAAGGTATTAAAAATTTTTAATATAATCCCATACCAACACCACCTAATAGACCACCAAAGAATGCTCCCCAAAATGCAACTGGAAATAGAATGCTACCAGCAATTGTCATTCCAACACCTATAGTAATGATTAGACCTAAATGACCTAGATTTTTGGCTGTTTGAGAATCATTAATAACTTTATTAGCTAGAATAGATTTAACAGCTAAGGCCAAAATCACTTGTTAAATGATAATACCTACAATAGGCAATCTAGAAGCAAGAAGACCAAGAACACCAAAAGAAATAGCTGTAAATCCAGCATTTTTTAATTTATCATCCCAAGGAATATCTTCATCAAGACAATCAACAATAAGAACACCTATACCCATTCCAAGTGCTTTACCACCTATTACTCTATTAGAAGTTCCATATCTAATTGGTTTTTTTGGAGCACTAATTTTTTTGAATTTAAAGACAGCATTTTTGAATCCAGAAATATCATCAGCAGTTCTATCAATAGATTTTTCACTAGCAACTCTTTTTTTGAATTCAGGATGTCCACAATGAAGATAATCAAATTATTCATTTAAAAATTTAGCTAAAAGAATATTTTATTCTTTTTCATCATCAAATGCTTCCCAACCTTATTCAAATTTATGAAACATCAAATAATGATAAGATAAACTTAAAATAAATTATTAAACTTTATTATTTTTATCATCTTTAACAAGAATTTTTAATCCTTTTAAATCATTTTTTTATACTTTTTATGATTTAATTACTTTAATATCATGACATTATTCCATAAGTAAAATATCATCTTAATCTTATATAACTTAAATATTTTATGGTAGAGGTTTAATAAGATTAAATTAAGCATTATTAATTAATTCATCAAAATTTTTATGCCATTTGGCTGTAAATAATTGTTTACATTCATCCATTACATAATAAAAATGTTTAATTGTTTATTTTACAATTACTGAGTGTTTTTCTTGATTTACTTAAAATGATTATCCAACTAATGTTATATCACCATAATCAATAATATTTTATGATACTTCCTTCTACATATATTTATAATTTTCTTAATTTGCTAAACTTCCATAAATTTTCAATAGTTTATCTAATTATTGCATTTTATAATTAGCATGACATGCAACATCTATTAAATAATTAGAAAAATCAGTAACTAAATCAATAAACAATTTTTATAGATTATCCAAAAATTCAGTTGTGAGTTATGTATCGAGATAAGCAAATTCAAAAAGATCATATGCAACTCTCTTTAATTGAGATTCCAAAATTTCATTCAATAATATATTCAATTATGCACTATTTAAATAATCATCACATAATTCTGAGATCAAAGTATCACATAATCTAATGTATTACTAACATAAATTACTCGAATGCGTTTTCTTAAAATGTCTTATAATATCCTTTTATTTAAACTTTAATTTCTGGAAGTCGTTACACAAAAAAAACAGGCTCTTTCCATTCTTCTACACTTCTATCAATGAATTCATATACAATATCCTATTTTTAGATTCAAAAATACTTCAATAAATTTAGGGCTGACATTCCATCCAATAAACATATACTTTCGAAGTATTTTAATACACTCAATCATTAGTTTAATTGATCGTTTATTTACTCCATCAATCAAGTCCTAGTTTAAGAAATAGTCTTCTATTTATAAAAACTGTTATTCGTTAGAAATTTCACTTAGAGCCTCTTTGAGATAACGGCAATCTAAGGTTATTGGAACTAAGATTTGAGTTTTCAAAGCCTATAATAGAGAATCATGATAAATCTAATTCATCAAATAATAATATATATTTTCACTTATTTAACTAACTCATTATTAAATTGGCTTCGTCTCTTTCTGGTCCATTGAAATCATAGAGTCTTTTAGCCATTTGCATTGCTCTTTCTTTTTCTCCCCTTCTCAAGAAAGTTCTTGCCAAATACAATAATGATTCTGATAATTCTTTATCTACTATTTATTCTTCATCTTTTCTTTTCAAACTCTCTTCAAATGCAGACAATGCCTTATCTGTTTTACCCTAACCTATAGAAAATTTAATAGATTACCATAGCATCATATAATTTTGCTAATTAATGAATTGCAATTCCTTCTTTATCTTTGCATTAATTTGCTCTTTCATAACATTTCATAGATTCATTTTTCTTATCCATTTTATCATAACATTCTGCCATAGCATTCCACATTCTAGCATCTTTTGGTCTACTAATAACTGCTCTACTAAAATAATATAAAGCATATTGATTCATTCCTTGTAATGCATATGTTTATCCTAATCCATACCATGCTCTGAAATCTTTTGGATCTATTTCAACTGCATTTCGATATGATTATATTGCAGAAGCAACATTTTTCATTTCTAAATACTCATGTCCCATCAAAGTCCAAGCTGCTAAACAATCTTTATCTAATTTAAGTGCTCTTTGAAAATAATTTATAGCTTTTGCATGTTCATTCATAAGAGAATAATAATTTCCAACAACACAACAAGTTTCTGGTACATATTTATTATTTGTAAATGATTATAATGCTAAATTTGCTAATTCACCTTAATTTTCTTTTATATATAATATATTTGAATATGTATCTAGACTTTCAAATCTATATGGATCAATACTTAGTAATCTTTCAAACCATTCAAGTGATAATTCAAATTCTTAATTGTTATAATAAGCATTAGCAATTTAATTTAAGATAAAATTAGAATTTCTAAAGTAATATAATAATGTTTAAAATTATTCTACACAATTTGCATTTTTAAACTTTTCCAAATTAAAATTAGAACTCCAAAATAATTTCATCCAATGATTGGGTAATTCATCTAAAGTATCTTCTTCTGTTAACAATTTACATAATTCTAACCAAACACTCCAAAAACATGGTAATTGATTCAAAACTTAAATAAATACTTCTCTTGCTTCTCTTATTCTCATAGTATCTTTTAAGATTAATCCATAAAGATATAGATTCAATTAATTTAATTATTTTTGATTGTATAATTTTGATAATTCTCTTTCTAATAATTTAAGTTCTGGATTTATTGCTGTTTTTGAGTTTTCATTCTCAAACATCTCTTCTTCTTTTCTTAACTCTCCATACATATATTAAGAATAATAATAGAGAAACATTGCTGATTCATTTTTATGAATTAGATTTTATAATAATGATGCACATTTCTTAAATTCTCTTAAATCAAATAGATTTCTAGCTACTAAAATGATATCATTATATTCAGGAACAAATTCTCTAATGAATTAATATTTGTAATCTGTATTGTTTTGTATAAATTACATTGCAAATTATGATTATTATAAATCTTCTTCTTATGTCAATCCTAATAATAACTCTCCTGTCCATTTACTAGAATGATAGAGTTTATTTTCTTAAAAGAATCTAGTATAATATTACAATTCTTTTTGAATTTCATGTAATTTAGGCATTAATTCCATTTTTCAAATTTCAAAATTATTACTAATTAAAACATAATGATAATTGGAGCAATTAAAGTAAAGGATGGTCTTTTTATAGGAGATGAATTAGCCTCTAAAGTAAAAATACAATCTTAATATAATAGGATCTTGAATTCGTCATCCAGAACAAAGTAACTAGAATAGTTAATTGCGCAGCTAAACAATTGCCATGTGTATTTGCAAATTACGGTGTTACATATCTGAAATTTAATTGGTTAGAAAATGAAAAAGTACATCCTATTTATCATGAATAAGTAAATACTATTTCCAAATGATACTGTTAATGAAATCTTTCAATTTATAGAATAAGCACATAATAACGGAGAATCTGTTTTGGTTCATTCAATAAGAGGACAATCTCGTTCATGTTGTGCACTTGCTGCTTACTTTATGAGAAAATATAAATGGAAACTTTATAAGACTTTGGAGTTTCTCAACTCTAGAAGACCAGATCTTGAAATTAGAGCCAGTTTTTATCATCAATTAACTTAATTGGAATCCAAACTAAGTAAAAAGGGTGAAGGTGGTCTATCAAGTTCATGGCAACCATAAGAAGAATAAGATCTACCCCTTGAAGAAGATGAAAAACTTCTTAGAAATACATTTATGAATGCAAAATCTAGTTCAGTTGATTCTTGTTGGTTAGATAGAAGATTATTTAATTAATATCTAAATGAAAATAGAGTTAGAACAATTACTTGGGCAGATGAAACATTAGTTAAAAAGTCATAAAAAAAAATTAAATCATCTAATACCAAAAATGCTGTTAAATTAAATAGTTAAAATAATATAAGTGGAAATATTTACCATGTTACAGTTAATAATTATGTAACTCTAAAAGAAGAATTAGAAAAATATAATTCTAGTCTAAATTCAAGAGAGAATCATTAACTTATTAAACCAAATAGTGGTACTATAAAAAGACAATAAAATGATAGTCTAAAAAAACATTAAGAATAAAAACTTAAATAATAAGGGAAATCTTAATCATTAAAATAATAAAAAAGAGATCCAACTGATAGACCTAAATCTGCCTATGTGTATTAATCTTAATTATTCTAGATAGCCTGAAATTCAACCCCCTGTGAATATTCCAAAACCAGTACACCTTCCATATCGTTAATTTTCACCTGTTGTAAAAGGTAATTTAATTTAATATATTTAGGAAATAATATTCCAAAAGTAACATAATTGATTCCAACTAATAAAAGCAAAGGATGGAGATATCCTTCACCTGGATAATTGAAAAATGATGATGATTTTATGCAATCATTCATCAATAGTAAACCTGTATGGAAATGAATAAATTAATACTACATTTTATATATATATTTTAGTATTAATTCTTTTATATATATGCTAAGATTATTAAATATAAGCAATCAAAAATTTTCTTCCAAATGTTCAGATCTATCTATTTTTCTTATTAATTCTTTATCTGATGCTTAATTTAATTGTCTTTTCAATCTATTTAACTGTTCTAATTATTCATCATTTTCTCTTCTCATAATATTTAATTGTTCACTTTTTGCTTATAATAATGTTTAAGCATCTGACAATTCAAAATTTAATCTTTATATTTCTTTTGTCAATTTTGATACATCTTCATTATCCCCTCTTCTTTTATTCATTTATTCAAATGTTTATTCAAATTCTTATTCTTTCATTTCTAGATCACTTTTTAATTTTTCCACTTATCTTCTCAATGATTGCTTCTCACTATTTGATTTTAATTAATTGCTCTCTAATTCATGAATCTCATTCAATAAATTGCTATTTTTCTATTTCAATTAATCATAATCTTCAATATGTACATAATTTTAATCAATTTATTTTCTTAGAGAATCATATAATACTTCTTTATCTTAGTATTGAATTTCCAAATTTGAATATTATTATAATATTTAATTTAATTTTGATTCTTTTTGATCTAATTTTTATTATAATATTTCAATCTCATTATTTAAAACAGCCTAAATATAATATTATAATATATACTTTTTCATTTTCAACTTAAAATTCCCAATCTTATCTTTAATTTTCTCCTTCAGCATAATTTTGAATCTTTTAATTTAATTATTCAATTTCTTCAGTTAATTCATTTTTAACTTCAACTAATTTTTCCTTTTAATTTTCTAAACTTTTAATTAAGGAATCTTTTTCTTAAAGCAATTATTCAATTTATTTATTTGATTCCTTATGTTCTTCCTAATATTTAATAAATTAATCTTCATTAGATTATAATTATAAATTTAAATTAGCAATTTAATCTAATAATTTTTATTCTTTTTTTCTTGATTCTTCAATTTTCTTTTAAGATTCTAACATAGCATGATCAAGTTATTTTTATGATTTATCAATTTAGTTATTTTAATTGTGAATTTCAATTTCATATTAATTAATTGCTTATTTATATTATGATATTCTTGTTTCTTAAAAACTAAATTTTTAATTAAATTGATTTCTTTCAAGATCTCTTTATTAAGTTGATTCTTCTAATTCTTTTAAATAAATATCAGCACTTTATTTTAATTCTACTACTTAAAATTCAGCTTAAATCAATTTTTCTTTTGTTTATTTAAATAAAGAATCAAATTTCTATTTCTCTTAATTAAATTAGTTGATCTACCAATCTTTTTATTTAATTTGTTCTTAATAATTTTATATCTATTGAGAAGAACTGAATTCTAATTCAATTTTTAAAGTTTCTAATTCTTTTACTTTTTACTTTTATTATTTTAATGATTATTCCATTATTTATTTTTCTTATTGTAATTTGATATTTTATTCTTTTAATTCTTTTTTGAAATTCTCTAATTCAAATTAATAATCTTCTAATTCTTTAAATTTTTATTTCTCTGTCTCACTTAATTAATGTTTCAAACTATTTATAGAATTATCTAATAATTATTAATTAAGTTTGTATTCATTTAATTATTCATCCTTCTTACGATTTTAGATTGTTAATTTATCATTCTCAATATTTAAATATTTAATTTATTCTTCCAAATGTTAAATCTATTATTGATGAAAGCTTTTTAATTCTAAAATATCTGTTTCCCATTACTCTCTAATATTAGCTTCAATTTCCTTTGTAACATTCTTTTATAATTCTAATTCACTTTTGATATCATTAGCAATAACTTATTATTTACTCAATTCATGTAATTTTGTCTAATATTTTGATGATTATTCTAAAAGTTATTGTTTTAATTTCTAAAGATCTTCTTATAATTATTATATTTCTAAATCTTTAAATTTGTTGATTCTTTCTAATTCTTACTATAAAATTTTAATTTCTTTCTCTTATTCTTAATCTATAGAGTATAATTTTGCATTTTCAGTTTTCATTACTTAATAATTATTTTCAGATTCTTATAATTATGATTATAAATCTCTTATTATCTAATCTAATTGTTAATTTTCTGTTGAATGTTTTAATTCAGTTTCATTTAATTTTCTTTATAACATATTTATTTATTATTATTCATAATATTATTTTAATTCTTAGATTTATTTTTGATGTAAAAGTTCTTATTATGTTTATTTATCATGAATTAATTATAAATCTTTAGTCAAACTAATATTTTTTAATCTAAGTTCTTCACACATTTAATTTGATTAATGAATTTATTATTAAATTGCTAATTTATTATCTTATAGATCATCTATTAATAATTACATTTTATTTTTTTCATTTACTAAATTATCAAATTAACCTAAGAGTTTTGAATATTTTTATTATTCCTATATAAGTTAATCATTTTTTTTGCTCAAGATTTATTAATGTTATTATTAGATATCCTTTAATTGTATTTAACTTTGATGAGAACAATCATTTTCAACTTTTATTTTTGTTTCTTCAATTTGTCTAGCACTTTTGAAATGAGAATCTTGTACTTATTATTTCAAATTTTATAATTCATATTCTAAATTTTAGATATGTGATTTCAAATTTTAATTTTCATCAACATTTTAAGCATTCTTATTAATAAATAAATAATAAATACATTTTATGAAAGCTATATAAATTTAGTTTCATTTTTTTTCAATTCATTGACTAATAGTTAAATCTCTTCATTCTTTTTTTATAATAACAATTATTATTATTTAATATTATGTTATTCTGTTTATAATTTATAAGTTTGATTTGATAATTGAATTTCTAATTCATTAATAATTTTATTGTATTTTTGTTGATCAGCTTATATTTGATTCTATAGTTAAAGATTTTCAGTACTCAATTTACCAAATCTAGCTTCATATGAATCAATAATTTTGATGTTTTCTTTCTTTCTTAAATTAGGAGATTAATCTAATTTTCTTGCAGGAGAAATAATTCTATCAGCTTATTTTAGAAAAGATATATACTCAAATTATATGATTTCTCTAAATTTTAAGAAGATCTCAAGTGAAAATTTTGAGAATCTTATCTTCTAAGTTAATTTTTAGGATTGTCTATAACACTTAATTATTAAACAGCCTCATCATTTCTAACTTATTTTGCAACTTATTAGCTTGGTATAGGGTTATTATCTTATTCTTTTTATCTTTTTGGTGTATTGGAAGTTCGCTATCGTTTATGTGATGATCTATGCATTTAACAGAAATATAATTATAATAAATTTATAAATAGTGCATAATAAATCAATTTTTATAACAAAAAAAAAAAAAGAATAAGTAATTTTAATTATTTATAAATTTAACAGAGTAAATCATTTTTTCATTGTTTTGTTTTTTGTTTTAATTTTTTAAACATATAATTATTATACTGAGATTTAAGTTTTTTTCTAAGAACTTGCACTCTTTTGAGCACTAGTAATTCTTTATGTTTCAATGTTAGATTATGTTTTTTATTTTGAATTAATTTTAGGACTTTCAAGCATAGCCTTATATTATTAAAATGGAGTCTTAATATTTAAATTATTCATATTAAGTTGATTAATATTTATATTAATATTTGCTGATAGAGGTACAGATGATTGGGATGTATAGATTTTAAAAAGTTTTTCAGAAGATTTGGTATGAGTTAATGATTATTTAAGATCTTATCCCATATTTGTATGCATTTTCATTGAAAATTACTTTTAATGTTTATTAGGAGAATTTATCTCTGTATAATGTGTTTATGTCTAACTTTTCTTATGTGTTGGAATTACTAAATTAGGACTATTACTTTATTTTAAAGGTTATTATGATTATATTAATTTTAATTACTCTGAAGATATACTTCGAGTACTTGTAATGTAATGTATACTGTTTTATTTAGATTAATAATTTGATATATGATTAGCTTTTCCAGATTGTTTGGAACTTAATACACAAGGATTTGCATGATTAACAGTTAATATCTATTATTTTAAAAATTTCTATAAATCTGTATCTCCATTGCTACTATTAATAATTTTATTGGAGGAAACTAAGGACTTTTGTGAAGTATCTTTACTTAAAGTCTTAAGATGACCTTTTTATGAAGGAGACTTCTAAATAGCTCTTTTACTTATTCCTGCCGCATAAATATTTTATTTGTCTTTACAAAATTGAGTATTTTTGGATATTAATTATTTAAGTAATTTCAAATTAGGAGGATATTATGATTTTTATTGTTATTATTGAGTCATTGTCATCCATGTTGCATCAATATTCTAATAAATATAAATATTTTTACAATAATTTCATCACTTGCTTTAGACTTTAATATCTCTCTTAATACAGAAAGACTTGACACTTGAGTTTATTGAGTTATACTATTCAATACTTTGATATCTTCTTTAAGCTTCTCATATTCTAATTATTTATATATGATTACATGTACAATTACTAGCATCTTCAACTGGAATACCAAGCATGAATTTTATTTTTCTATACTCTATTTATCTAATTATAAATCTTATATATATTTACTTCTTTTTCTCATAAAAATAGATTGCTAAATCTGATACTCTTGGCATGAACATTCTTGGAATATCTTTATGATACTTATAGTATTCTAACAATTAATCAAATTTCATAGGTTGATCACTCATTGGATAAAACCTATAAAACAAATTATTTATCCTTTAAATACCTTTTAAGAAACTCATCATAATCATCAAATGTCAATCTATCTTTGAATTTAATTACCCATGATATTGGTTTCGTGGAAAATAAATCCTCGTATTTTCTTCCATTCCATTGAGATTATGAGTATTTTGTGTACAAAGCCTATATGCCATTTTGATTATTTCTTACTCTATTAAGGAGAGGGGCAAAATTTATTTTATCTGTTGTTATTCTTCCATATTTCTAACAAAATAGACAATCCTCCTCCGATGTGTATTTCTTCAAATTTATTAGAGCATCACCTTTTTTCATAACTGAATATAAATAATATTTTTTTGTATAAAAATATCAAATATAAAAACAATTCAAATTCATATAATACAATTTAATAATGATTACTACCTTAAACAATCATTATTAATTAAAAAACAATTAAATATTCATTCAAATTCAATTTATCTTAATAATAGATAGATATTAATATTTACATAATTGATTTCTAGATTAATTATTAGAAAAATATAAAAATACAATAGAAACAATATGTTTATGTCTAATTTCCTTAAAAGATTAAATTATTACTAAACTAGATGTTTTACTTGACTAAATGCCTTAAATAATTAAACTTGATATCATTAGGAATTATTATTATAATATATATACTTTAATTGGCTCTTCTTTTACAAATTTGTTAAATTCAAAAGAAAAGAAATATCAAATAAAAACGATATGAATTGATTTATTATCATAAATACTTATTATCTTTTATTAAGAAACTAAATAAAATTCAAGAAAACTTCTCTCTTATATAATAATTATGAATTTAACTTAATATAAGGTATGATAATTCTTTAATTATGTATTAAAATCTTAGTTTTGTTAATATTAGTATTTTGAATTAATAACTAAAAGATTAAATAATTAAAGTATTTATTTATATATAATAATTTTCAATTTTGTATAAGTGAAATGATATAGCTTATGTTGAATTCTGGATAAAAATAAGCATATTCTTTAACACAGTCAAAATCATCAACATTTAAGAGTTCTTGAAATTTATACTAAGATGAATTTAAAGGAATGCTTCTAAAATCAGGTCTAAAAATTTCTGCTATTTATTAACTGCTGGTGTGAATAGATGGTTATAATTATATGTTCTTGTGGCTATTCCTTAATTATTCATATAATTTATCAGTAATATATTCTACATATCCATCTTTTTAAATTGCAGGAATTTATATATTTCCTTTACTTGTTACAATAATGTTTTTTTCAGTAAGTTTTTGACTTCCACTACCATCATCAGGATATATTTCAAATTACTCTTCACTATCACTTGAGCTACTATCACTCTAATCAATAGTTGCACTTTCATTTTGTTTTTAAAGTCTCTGATATATATTAAATATTAAATTTTACATATGTTTTAAATGCTCTTTATCTTCTATTCTTATATCTATTTATAAAATTAGATCTAATATTATTTTCATTTTTGATAGTAAAGTTCAATTAAATTTTTAGAATTTAACATTTACTTTCCAAATGAAATCCATTACAAATCCAACATTTATAGTCTATCAGATTTGTTTCTCCTTCAAAAACGATTTTATTTTTAATTAAATGAAAAGATTCCTTAAATAATAAAATATTTTTATACAAAATCTTAATTAATAGTGAGACTTTAATAAAAATCTTCAGAACTTATATATAATAATAAAAAATGATCTTCCATTTCTAATTCTACTTCAGAAATGTTTTTCTAAAAACAATTAATTAATCCAAATGTGAATTATTTTGATTCTATTTCTTTTTAACTTTTTAATGAATTTTATAATATAAGATATCCTGTGCCTTCTAAAATCAAATATAATCCATATTTATCTTATTTTTATTTATCCTTTGATTTTCTAATTGATTTTAATTTTTATGATAAATTTATTGTAAATTATTTTGAAAATATTTTAAGAACTTTTAAATTATCCTTTAAAATTGATTAGTAAATTTTCTTAATAATTTCTTATTATGTTAACTTATAATAATATTAAAAATTACCTATTTTAATGTTAATTCTTTATTAGAGATTTATTAATACAATTTTAATTTTTTTAATATTTATCCCTTATGATGCCAAATGTAATATTATAATACATGTACATCAAATTATATTTAATTGACTATGTAACCATCATTTGATCTTATTTAAATTAAAACATCTATTGTATATAATATAAGAATTAATGCAATTATTTAATTAAATATTACTTCAAATTTTAAGGTTGAATCTTAAATAAAGTAATTTGCTTAAAAAGTTATAAAATTTATATTGATTTTTAAGGATTCTTTATATTTTTATAAAAAATCTCCATCATAAGTTGAGTTTTCAAGAAAGCATGAAAATATATGTAAGAAGTAAATATAATAAACAATAACTTTATAAATTGCTAAAGTTTTATATAATTTTCCTAAATTTAATAAATTTTGATATTTTACTTCTTTTAATAATTAGCAAAATTGTAAATATTTCTATCCTCTTATAACCAATATAGAAACAATAAAATGATGTAATTAAAAGAATTTGACTTACATTCTATATAATATATATTAATAAAATTGTTATAGTAGTTAAATTCTTCAGAGTAATATCATTTAATAAATTATACCTTTATTGATTTTGTTTATTTGAAGTTTTGAATATTTGTATATATGAATAAAGATTTTAAATAAAGATAATGAGTAAATGAAAAAATATTAGAAAGTAAAGTGTATTATTGATATTTTCATAATCCTCTATGAGTTAAAGATAAGGGATATATATTCCACAAAATAAGTTGAGTATAACATCCAAAAAATCAATCATATATTTTATAAAGAAAAGTATTTAAATAAGAACAGAAAACTATGATAATTTTCTTCTTAATTATAATTTCTTCTAATATGATAGGTATTAAGTTGATTCTTGAGTTTCCATCCATTTCTCACAATTTTCAACCAAGAATTAATTTAATTAATCCTACTTAACTTCTTTTAAGTCATTATATTATATGATTGAGTTAACTAAGAAAAAGCTTTCACTAAAAGAGGGAGGATTCAAGCATTCTTCAAAGTTGTTTTTTGGAGAATTTTTAATAATTTTCTTAAATTCAAGTTTGTGTAACACTAATAATAGATAAATTACTACCATCTTCTTTTTGAGAATTCATAATATTTGCAAAACTTAGATAATGAATATAATTTCAAATACTAATTAATGTAAGATGTTAAATATTAGGTAATCACATTTAAGATTGTTTAATTCTTTTCATATACACAAATATAAGTCTGAAAGATTAGCAATTAATCATTAAATTGATGATAATTTAAAGTATAAATTCAGTAATTTAGAAAACACCTGCTGAACTAAAAACAATATTTAAAAGCTCAAATAATTTATTATTGGAAAATATTAAAATAAATGAGATTTGATAAAATCAAATATTAATGTATATATCAAATGGCTTATATTTTTATCAACATTTATTTTACATCCTAAAAAATAATATTAATGATCAAATACTTATAAAAAATTAAATAGAAAATTAATAACAAATAAGAAATAATATTGATTCATTCAGAATCATGATTCATAAATTAAATATTAAAAAAAATATAATGATTGTTCATAAATTGATAAAAATTTATTCTTGAAAAAACTATCATTTATACCTTATTAACATCTAGAAATTCTATAATCAAATTTGTAATATATTTATTTATCCATTTACACTTTTGCCTTTCTCTGATATTGCATTTAAACTTATATCTAATTCTATCATTTTCTTTTTGTAATTATTAAACAACCTAATTTTAATTATCTTAAATAATATCAATAATCTTTTATTTTCTTTATGTAAATCATCTTTTACTTTTCTTAATTAATCAATCTGTCAAGAGATTTATTATTCTTATCCTATTATTCTTTAATTTAAATCTAAATTACCTTCTCCAATACATTTCATGATATTTTCTTGATTAAAATTCTTTAATTTCTATTTATAGGATCACCCTTTCAAAGTAATATAAATTTTATCATACATGAAAGTAACATCTTACTTCAGTACTAGTAGTCTTTCCTATACATTATATAATATTTATAATTATTTAATCTGATGTGCAAATAAATCAAAAACCTCTTCATCTCTGATTTCAACATTTTAGCTCTGAATCCATATGAATAATTTGCAAATTACAATGATTGAAATAGATTAGCATGAAATTTCTTATTCAATTTTCTTTCATAATCAACATATAGAACCAATTATTATTATTTTATTTATTAGAGAAGTTAAAATAATTATATGAAACTTATAAAATATTTTGATATTAAAAAACAATATATAGTTTTAGTCGCAATCATTTTTTTAGATTCTATAAATATAACTTTTTTTGTTTAAGTGCTCCATAACCAGCCTATATAAAAGTATTTGCATTCTAATTTGGATTAACATTCTTAAGATATCTTGAATAGTTTTAAGTTTTGATCAATTCTTAACCTTGATTTAGTTGTTAACTTGCCCTGATATTAATTTCTTTATTTATTATTGGCACAAAAGAATGAGTCATTGAATGTTTTTCACCTTCTAAAGGTTTTTTTGGAATTATAACAGTTTCATACTCATCCAAATTCAATTTTTATAAGTCCTATCTAAATTTATAAGATGGATATTCAGATCTGGTAGAAGGTGTTAAATCAATATCTTTTTCTGATTATAATACTTATTAAGCATTTCTTTGGAATTTCTGAAAATAATATGATGGAGGATTTTAATTAATATTCATGTTGGTTGTGATAATTTATTATTCATTATACTTATTAATTGGTTATGATGTTTTTGATATAATTCCTATGACACCATTTTTATCCATAGTAGTAGTTCTGCCTTAGAATCTAGTTTTAAAATCCATTCACTTATTATTATATAAATTTTATGTTATTCAATTACTTTCACATTTTCATAAATTCAATAACAATTATTTTTTACTATTCAATTCAATTAATAAAGAAATAAATAAAAGTCTAGAATTAAATAAATAGTTAATATGAATTTTCTCAAAATAGTATCATATTAAAATCATTAAAAAATAATTATTTGATATCTCATCTTTGATAAAAATTAAATATTTATTGATATTTTTATATTATAATGGTTAAAAATAAAATTATAAGTAAATCAAAAAATAAAAAATATATATATAAAATAATTACTTTAGTAATATAATAAGAAATGAAGAAAAAATAAATTAAAATTTAAATCACATTGTATTTTCTACTTCTTCATCACATTCTTTCATTCCCAAAAGATCAAGAGTTGAAATAAGTTGATTTTATCTATTAATTTAACCATTTTCTTAAATGCTGTCAGTTAAATTGATATCAATACTACATTCTACTTTTCCACCAATCTAATTTACAAATTACTAAAGTGGATTTCTCTTCTTTTCTTCAAATTAAGTTTAATTTACTCCTGTATTACCAAGATCAACACTGGATTAAATATTACAAAGATCTCCAAAATAATCTTATGTCTAATTTTCAACTGATACTTATAATTATAGATTATTTATTTACATATACTTTGAGAAGATCCTATCCCTAAATTACATTTTCCATTACTATTATTTGTTTCAATTTAATTATTACCTGAACTATTACCAAGTGAATTAATTAATTATATTAAACCTGGATAATTTTCTCCATTTCTCTTTTAGACTACATGAATATTACCAAGTTCATATATTAAATCTTCTATAACTATATCTTAATATTCTAATCCAAGATGTAAAGTTTTTAATGCTCTATGTAAATTCTATTTTTAATTTATAGATAAACTTGTCTATAAAGATTTACACTTATTAACTAATCCTTCATCATCATCAATAATTTTTGTTGATGAAAACATAGCAATAGTAGAATATATTTGATTCTTTTCTATAAATGGATGAGCTAATGCCTCTATTGGAGTAATCCGTTTTTTTGGATCTGCTGATAAAAGTCTAAATAATAGATTTTATGCACTAAGAGATTCTTCTTTAACTTTATTTTTGAAATTCCATTATTCTGGTGTTGATAATAATTATATTTAATCATTAATTGAATTTGAATGCAATGGCAATTCACCAGTCATACATTAAAACATAATGACTCCTATACTCCATAAATCTATTTCTTTAGAATAATGTGGTTAATGATAAATTTCAGGAGCGCAGTAATATATATTGCCTGTTTTAGTGAGCATTTCAATTTACTAATTTTTTTATAAAAATCTTCTTGAAACACCAAAATCAAGTAATTTTAATTCACAATCACCCTCTATATTAACTAAAATATTATCTGGTTTAATATCTCTATGACATATTCCTTTATTATGTATGTGTTATATTGCAGTTAATAATTATTTTATAATTTATCTAGTTTCATCTTCTCTTAAAGTTTTCCTTTCTATTAAAATTGATTCTAATGTCGGATAAGGACAATATTCCATAACTAAACATGCACTACAATATTTTTCATTTATAAATAATTCTATCTCCTAAATAATGTTTTGATGTCTCAAACAACGAGCATTATTAAATGTTCTCTTCACATTATTATATATTTCTTCATTATTCATTCTTGTTATTTTTACTGCATACAATTCATTAGTTTCTTTTCTTCTTGCCAATTTTACTACAGCATGTGCTCCCTATCCTATACATTATTTAAATTCTTACCCAAAACTTATAATGATTCATATCTATCCTCAAATTTTATAGCATCATCTACAACACTCAAACTAATTATTTCTGGCTTCTCTTCATCTTCACCAAATTCTATTTTACATTTCAGTCTCTCCTTTAAAGATTTACTTTACAACATAATAATTATATAAATTTATGATAAAAATACTTGTAATATCATATCTCACTCAATAAAAGTTATCTTTTTATTTAAATTTATACTTATTATACTATATATTAAATGCTTCATTATTATTATTCATATATTAATATCATAATGTATTTTCAAACCCAATTTTCTATTAATATTATTGTGATCACTTTCGAATAAAATTAATTTCCATTCTTATTATTATACAAAAATTAAATTAATCCTGATAATCTCCTAGTATTATACTATTTTTTAATTTATTTATTATTGTTAGAGTCTTCCTTACATAATAAATAAATGTTTATAATATTTCAATTCAGTATTTTTAAACTATCTGAATAATATTATTAGATACTTCATAATTTACAATATAAATACTTTGCAATATTTATTTAAGATAATTATTAATTGTTTATAATCCAATTCTTTGTTGCCTTTTTATTTAATTAATAATTATGGAAATTATTAATAGAAACTATTGATTAATTTAGATTATTCTTATTTATCTTTTAAAGAATTATTTATATAAATATACTTTAAAGTTTTATATGATTGTATTACACTTTAATTAAAATTATATTGTTGTCTCTTTCTATAACATAAAGTAATTAGAGACAAACAATTTTTTTATTTAAATTCTTCAAATAATTTCAATTTTGTTTTTATTTTTAAGAATAGTTAAATAGTCATTTAATGATAATTAATTTATTATTACTTAATATTAACATCATTTATGAAATATTATGTATTTATTGTAAAATGAATTTTAGTTAAATTCAAATATCATACAATCTTTTATCTTATTCACTTAATTATAATCAGATATCTGTTATCTTTGTAACCTAAATTTAATTAACTAAGTTTTAAATCTTCCTTTTGTAAATGACAATATAAAACTGATTAGATTATAATATTGGAATTTTAACTTATTCTTAAATGTATTAAATGATAATTAGAAATTTTGATAATAATTTATCAAAGAAGTATTTAAAAATAAAATTAGGGTTGAATTAAATTATGATTATTAAAACTAGATAATTGTTTTATCTGATGGATTTCTGATAGATTTCTTATTAAAATAATTATGGGGACTAATTCAAATCTTAGTTGACTAATTAGATTCGTTTAGTAGTTAACTTTTATGACTTACAATTTTAACAAAATTAATTTAAGTTAACAATATATAAGACAATTTTGCATATTCAATCTTACTTTATTTATCTTACTTCTATAGTTAATATTTGTTAATGATTTTATTGATCTACATTTAATAATAAAGGTATTAGTGAGAATATTAATCTAATCAATTTCTAATAAGTATAATAATAATAGGATAAGTATGTTAGCATCCCTAATATTTATGATTAAAACAAATATGATTAGAATGTAGTTGGTTGCATAAATGTTTTTAAGTTCTTGAAAATAAATGTTGAATTCATTTATTAATTAATTAATTTATTCTGTAAAAGTCTCTCAATATGAATTTGTAAATTATAAATAGAAAAATAATAAAGTATAAATTTCTAAGTTTATTTAATAGTTATTATCAATAGTTATGATAATAATCATTTAGGTCTTTCAACTCCTAAAGCTATCAAAAATGAAGTCCAACAAGAAGTAGTCTTTTTAGTGTTATCAGTCTATAATATTTATAAATTTATACATATTCTCCTTGTTATTCAAATACATCAACTTAGTGAGGTTATGGTTTATTTCCTAATTCTTTCAATTACTATTATTATAACTATTTCAATTCCATTTACTTTTTTTTTAATCTAAATATAAAATATAATTCTACTCATTTTCTTTTTCAATTCTTTTTCTCTTTCTTTCTTCTTATTTCTATCTTTATCTTTCTTTCCTTACAATTTCATCATAATCTTTTATAATAGGCAATTTTCCATTACCAATTTACTAATAATAATATAATTATTATTTACAATTGCTTCTATTGTAATTACTGCAATTTCAGCTTGATTTTGTTCTTTTAAAATAGTCTTAATCCACTAATCACATTCCTCTTTTGTTTATGTTTTAAACTTATATATTTTAGAATCTTCTAATTAGATCTTAAAATTAGTAGGTTTTTTAGGATTTGAAATAATTTCATCTACATTTTATAAATTGATTTTATTTTATGCCTCTCTTGAATTGGAATTAATATACCAATACATAAACCCTTTTCTAATTCTAATATATCTATAATCCCAAGCTTTTGATTTTGGTTTCTTCTTATATAAATAACCTTCATCTATATATTCTTCCTTTTCAATTGAGTTTCTTTATTATTATTGTTAAGGAATCTAAAATTATAAAATATATATATATTTACTTATTGTATTTCATTATAATTAAAATCTAACTTTATATCTGCTCTTCTTAATATTTATTGTTATTATTAATCAGCTTCTTATTCTTCATCTTCTTAACCTAAAAAATCCATAATTCTAACACTTTCATCTTCTACAGGTTAAGTTTTATTGATATCATCAATTAGATTCTTACAAATTTCAATAGTGTCTTTCTTTTTTTCTTTATCTAAATCAAATCTTAAGCTCATAATAGATTTAATTGTTTTTTCTGAAAATGCTTTACCGAAATACTATCGTAAACTTTTACAAGGATCTAAAATACTTAGAGATTCTTCATTTAAAAATGATATCATATCATCAAAAGGTTTAAGTGTTGTTTACAATTATTTTTAAAATATAAATGTTTCTAATTCTTAGAATAAAATATCTTTATCATTTTCTAATTTTCTTATAAATTCATTCTATTATTCCTTTTTAGCTTTACTACAAGATATAATAAATTAATTAAAATAGTATAGAATTATTGAATCAATAAGTTATTTCCACAGTTTCCTACTAAAACTATCATGTAACTATGATAATGTTTAAGTGGCTGGCTCAATTATTGATTTTAGAGTATCTATAATTTTGATTTCGAGATAAGATTTTTTAAAATAAGTGCCTACACGATTGAAATAAATAATGAATATTCTTTCTCTACAATTAGTAGCTATTTAAACAAAATTCTTAGTTATTTTTTAACCATCAAATACTTTTTCAATTTCTTCATCATTTAAATTGCCAAAAGATTATAGTCTTTTAGCAAATTGTTTAGTATTATCATGTAAAGATAAAGTATTATTACATATAGCTACTAATTTAGAAACAGAGAGTTAATATTCATCAATTATTTCTTATATCCCTCCTTAATACTATTATAAAATAACTTTGCCAAAACCTCCAAATCTAAGTACTGTTTCTTTACATTAACATAATTTATATGCCATATCAAATCCTTCGTTTATTATTTTAAACAAATCAATAGGAGTTTAAGTAACCAATTATTCTTAATCATTCAAAATAGGTTCTTGTATTCTTTCCTATTCAATTATTTAATAAATAACTGATTCCAAACTTTCAAGTGATCTATTCACATATATATTTAATAAAACTCCAACTCCTAAAAGTATACGATCATCATTAAAGAAATCCTTCATCTGTAATAAATAATCATGTAACCATTATGCTATAAGTAGTAATTCTGGAGACTAGATATAATATTAAATTATAAATTACTTGTAATTTCATATAAGATTAATCCCAAAACTTTGTAATTCTATTACATATTTTTTCATGATATATGTCTGTATATTCTTTTACAATATCTTTTCTTTAAGGATCTTTAACAATACTAGCTTACATTGATTCTAACATATCTTATCTTAAATCAGTCAATTATTTAATTAATGTATTAAGATCAACATCCTCTTCTGTTAAGATGGCTGCCATATCTTATTCTAATTTTATTCGAATCTTTTCTCTCCTTGCTATTAAATGAGTTTCTTCATCATATAATTGTATTAATGGATCAATATTCTTTTTTATTTTTATTTTTAATGGATTATTAATTTCTTTTGTTATTCTGATAGATGCACTTAAGGCAGATTACCATTTAGTACGTTCTAATTCAGTATCAGCCATTAGATGATATAATCTATCTCCCATATTTAATTTAAAAGTGTAACCACTTTCCTTTGATTTAGACATATTTTTTATTATGATTTCTTAACAATCTAACATTTTAACATCTCCTTTGGCTTTTGGTGATTTCCCATCTTCTTTTTATTTGAAATATGTTATAGTATCTAATTCTAACCAAGGAGGTAATTGTGATTCATTTAATATCTTTTCATCATTATAATCAGAATACTATGGTTTTAAATTAATAATACCAATGGTTTAGCTGATACAAGTATAAACCAACGTTTTTAAAAGTATTTTACTTTTCCTTTGCTTCTTTTACCCAAATAACCATATATCATTCGTTAATAAATAAATTACTCATTCATATTTTTTATGAATTCTTTCAAACCTACTAGTTCTATCATCTTATCATTTGATAATTAAGAAATATCTTGTTTTTCCTTACTCTTTTTATCTCCCTTAGATAAGTCTATAAGTAATGAATTTCTTTGCCTCTCCTTATAAACTTAAGCCTATTAAGCTGTATATGTATCTACAATCTTATGGTTTTGGACTACAAAATAATGAAAAATCATACTCTTAGTTGGACTTTCATCAGCCATCTTGACAACAGAATCCATACTGACTTATCTCTTTGTTCTCTGAGGTGAAGTTGATGTTCTTAAACTATTTAGAGTGGTAATCCATTATTGACACAATTCTGGAGTTTTGACTTTTAATTCTAGATTTCGACCAGGAAATTAAATAGTGAATTCTTTTTTGGAGATCTAATTAATAGATGTAATTGTAGATAAATCAAAAGCACCATTAGGTTTAGTGTCAGTTTTCTAAACTCAGATTATTTTTCTTACATCATTATCAAAATAAACTAATTTCCAAAGTCCTTCTTATAAATTTTCAATAAGCATAAAGTAACGCTTTTGCCAACCTTTCAAGAGTGCAGGACTTTTCTTTTTCATCCATCCTTTCATAGACTATACATCAATTTTATTTTCAATTCTTTTCAACTCATCTGAATATGCATCAATAGAAGCTGTAGATACTGTTAAGGCAGATCTCTTTTTTTCATAATCATTAGACATTAGTATTAGAATAATAATAATTAAATATATCAAGTAATTATATTATACTAATATTACTATATAATTTAGAGTAGACTATATTGAAAAAAAAAGATATAAATTAGATGAAATGAATAAAAAGTTTAGAATAATACTGCTATCATTATATTTAACCAATTATTTTAATTAATTTAAAATGTTCCCCTCCCTTAATTCAATCAAGAAACCAAAAAAGAGTTTCAATCTATTACATCTTGAGACACAAGAGTAATATTTTCTCTCTCTCAAAGTGGCATTAATACCAAGTGCAAAAAGTGATGAGTAACATATTTGTATATTCAATCTAAATTCAGAATTCGAGGAAAATTACATCTATGTTCTCGTTCATTAGTTTTTGAGCCTAAATCATCATAGTTGCCCCTTATGAAAATGAAATACAGCAATGGACTCTTTATGAAAGTACTCAAAAATTTCGAACCAAAATCACTTAGTCTTTTACTGAGTATTCGTTGGGGTTATCAATTATTGCAAGAGGATATTGATCAACTCGATTTAGCATCAATTTTAAATTAATAAAAAGGAGAATAAGTTTCTACTATTATTGATTACTAAATTAGAAATCGAATGAACTTTTAGAAAAGCTTTACAATAAATAAAGAAAGAACATGATATAATTAGCATCCAATTGCTTCTTCATTAAGGTCGATAAATTGTTTATTGTGAATCGTAATCCAATAAGTCCATACATTACTGAAATTGTATAAATACATAATTCTCTGTTTAGTGCGATGATAACATTGTATTCACCATATCCAAATCTAATTCTAAATAAATTCTTATACGCTTTCTTAAATTATACTAAGGAATTAATTAAGCTGAAGATGAATTCACATTCATTAATCAAACTATCTAACAAACCTTAAATGACAGTCTTCTTGAACATAAATCAAATTTAGGATCTGAAGGTCATAAAATAGAATTTGTTCATAAAGGTATATTCAAATTCTATTTTAGTAAAACTAATCAAACCTGAAGGGGTAATCTTTGGATTGTTTAGTATATAAAAAGAAGAAATCCTATAATTTATTCCATTAATTAATTCACCCAAAGGTAAAATCATGTAATTTATGTTTACTGACATTAAATATTTCCTTAAATATAGATATATGTTCAAAAATAATGGAATTGAATTTTGGATGTATAATAAAAAGAGATCCTATCTTTTTGTTTTTGATGATTCAAATACTTAAGAATCTGTTTTCAAATACTTTTAAAAAAAAGCATCTAAACATTGTCTATCAGCTTTGACTAAAGAAAAAATTAGTTAGGAATGGATAAATGGTAATATGTCTAATTTTGATTATTTGATGGCCTTAAATACTCTTGCCAATAGAAGTTTTAATGATTTATCTGCTTATCCTGTATTCCCATGGATCATTGCTGAATATAATGAAAAAGAATTTAATATCAATTAACCCACTTTCTTTAGAGATTTATCTAAACCTATGGGTGCCCTCAATAAACATCGACTCTAAAAATATAAAGTAATCTCTTTTTAATATAATCATATAGGCATTCTACAAAGATCAATTAAAAGATAAATAATAGGATCCTAAACCTTATTTATATCCTACACATTATTCAAGTCCTGGAACTGTTGTATATTATATGATAAGAAAAATTCCTGAATTTGTAATTAAATTATAAAATGGTGTCTTTGGACCAACAGATAGAATATTTAGAGGTATTGATTCTACTTGGTTTACTACTCTCAATCTTCATGCTGATTCCAAAGAACTTATACCAGAGTATTTATTTTTAAAGATATATATATATTAGATTTTATGGATTAGATAGTGATTTTTTAATTAATTGTGACAAATTAGAATTAGGAATAACATAAGATGGAGAAGTAATTGATGATGCAGTTATACCTGCTTGGGCTGAAAATGCTGTAGATTTCTTAGCCAAAATGAGAATTGCTTTAGAAAGTCCTTATGTTTAAGTTAATCTTCCTTAATGGATTGATTTAATTTTTGGTAGTAAATCTTCTGGAAATGAAGCATTATTAAATGATAATTTATTTTATCCTTATACTTATGCAGAAAATGTAAATTGGGATAAATGTAAAACTGATATTGAAAGATAAGCATTAGAAATTTAAGTAACTGAATTTGGTCAAGTACCTTTACAATTATTTTAAACAGCTCATCCTTAAAGAAAATTAAAAATTTAAGGAAATTTGAAATAATTAGAAGATGAAAAGAAAGAACTCAAATAATTAAATTAAACTTTATAAAATTAAATTCAAAAATTAACTTAATAAATCTAATAGACTTAAGATAAAGAAGTAGTTACATAATTGTAAACTTAATTGGCTGCATTATAATGGGAAAATGAAAAATTAAAATTCAATCTTGAAACTTTTAAATAAGAAGTTATGGCTAATAAAGAGATTATATAAACATTTAATTCACAATTTGATTAAGAAGAATTTGATAAAAATGGTTTCGATTTTCTAAATGATGATAGTCTTTTGGACAGTTCAAAAAAAGCCAATTAATGATTGATTCTAATATAGATATAAATTGTTATTTTTTTCACTTCTTTCAAATAATTATATATAGGCTTCTAATTAATCATATGTTGTATCTTAATTATATATATATAGACTTATTTTTATATCTCCAATTATTTTAAGATTAGATATTTTGAATAGCTACTTTTACAAGGAGTATAATAAAGTAATGTAAATTACTATTGGAAATTAGTAAATAAAACTAAACTTTAAAATATATATTATATTTAAGGAAATAAGAAAAATTTAATTTCATCTAAATAATGGAGAATAAAAAAGATTATTGTATATATAGGTTTTAATGAATGTAATATCAGATATAATAATAAGTGGTTTAGTTAGAAAAACGAAAATTATATCAAAGAAGAATCATAGAAAAGTAATATAGATTTTGATTTTTTGAAATTCTATCAAAATTAATTGGAAATAAAGAAAGATAATTAAATGTTAAAGTCAGAATGGTAATAGTATATAAGATAAGAGATTTGAAATTTTGAGAGTGATAACTAATTGAAAGATTAAGATTTTTAGAAATCAAGAGAAAATAATAGAATTAGAATATAAATAGTTGGTTATTCTTCTAGAATTATTATAATCTATCAAGAAATTGTTGAAGGAAACAAAAAATAGAAAAAAATGATTTCATTAATCCAAGAATAAAAAGAAATAGAGAATTAAGTAGAAGAAGTAATAAAAGATATTATCCATTGAAAATACAATAATAAGATAGCTTAGATTAGAGGATCATCTTATTATATTATGAGAAGTTAAAATATAGAGTTAAAGAAATAAAATGATATGTATTTATGAAATATCAGTATAAAAGTAAATGTGTTGAAAAAATTATTTTATAGGAATTTTGGACTCAAATAAGAATTATTTCAAAAAAAGAAGTGGGAACAATAATAGAATGATTCTCATATATAAGGAGAGTTAGGTAATAGATTTGAAGAAATTGGCTAAAGAAGAAAATTAATGGTGGAGGATTTGCTTTTTAACATTGAAATATCAACTGAAATAAAATTAATTAAAGTTATATGGGTTCTTGTTGTCAAGTCAGTCAAATAGCTCGAGAATAATATGTGTTCCCAGATGGAGGAGTGTATACTGGAGAATTGAAAGATGGAATACCAGTATTAGTGATGATCATTTTTAGCATGGTGTTGGAGCAATTTCTTTTGATAATGGATCATCCTTTGAAGGACATTTTGAGAATGGAGTGAAATGTGGTAAAGGAGTTTATAGATGGAGTGATAATTCTTATTATGATGGGGAATTTTAGAATGATGCATTTAATGGTTATGGTGAGTATTTTTGGAGTAATGGTAAATGGTACAAAGGATAATGGGTATAAGGTAATATGCAAGGTGAAGGATAATTCTATACTGATGGTAAGACTTATAAGGGTGAGATATTTAATTTTAATTTAAGGTGAATTTGAAAATGATAAGAGAAATGGAAAGGGAGAGCAAATTTGGCCAAATAGATAAAAATATATTGGAGAATGGAAAAACGGTAAGATGCATGGAAGAGGACAACTAATAGAGCCAAATGGGAAAGTTATAGAAGGAGAATGGGTAAAGGGAAAAAAGAAATGATTAATTTCGTATATTTAATTTTTATAATATATTGTGTTATGGGTAATGTTTGTAAGACAATACATAGAACTCAAGTTTTGGAAACAGGTGGTTTTGAATTTTAATAGCCTATTGAAACTAAACCTTATGAAATTAAAAGTAATCTACCAGAAGTACAAGAAATGTGTGCAACTAAAATCTAGGCTTTGTATAGAGGTCATTCAGTAAGAAAACAAGTAAAAAGTCTATGATTACACTACAGAAAAAATAAGTTGAAGAATCTTATCCTCCTTTCAAAGATATTGCTATTCCAATAGAGTAAGTTCCAGAGATCTTCCATCATAATGTTTCCAAAGTACTTTTGCAATTAGGACCTTTCGATTATACTTAGTGTCCTTCAATGGTTGGAGCTAAATCTCTTCCCCCTTATTAATTTCTTGATAAAGGAGGGATTTATATAGGTTAATGGAAAAATCATCAAAGAAATGGAAAAGGTAAATACATCTTTCCTGATGGATCACTTTATGAAGGTTTTTGGGTAGATGATAAAGCCAATGGATTTGGTAGACTCATTGTTACTAGTGGAGATTATTATATAGGAGAATGGAAAAATGATAAGAATGATGGTTATGGTGTTTATGTACATGCTGATAAGTCGAGATATGAAGGATTTTGGAAGGATGATAATAGACATGGATAAGGAATTGAAATATGGGAAGATAAGTCTGCTGTTTATGAGGGTAGTTTTTATATGGGGGTGAAAGAAGGATATGGAATCTATAAGTGGGCTGATGGATCTAATTATGCAGGAGGATTTAAAAATAATCAATTTTAAGGGATGGGAACTTATATTTGGCCTGATGGTA